CATTTCCGTGCTGTAGACTCGCCTACGAATATTCGTATCGATCAGATACAAAGCAACTGTTAAAACTGAACTTTTATGATGGAATTAAAGTGTCAAAATGTAAAAGTTGACTTGAAGTCAACTTGAAGAGAAGTAATTGCAAAAGTGTAAAAAGTTTACTATATCGTTTATATTTTTAAGAGTTTACGGTGTAATTACAGATCAATTCAAGCCCTGTTCATGATTTAGTCAAGAGAAATTATTGTTAAAATGTCAATTTCATTTTCAGAATAGCGGTGCAACAACTTCAACATTTCTACTGGCGTTTAAAACAAAATTTGTAACATTTTGTAAAATTTGTAAATTTCTATTTTCTATTATTTCTAATATAGAAATATATAAATATGATGTTTCGTGAAGTTTTCGTTTAAGCATCGCTAAAAATGTGAAAGTTACTTTCAGTCCAAATATACAGTAATGTCTCCCTAATTGACACTCAGATTGCGCACAAGAATGGACAATTTGGGAAGAGGAGACACGATTGTTCGAGTCTTGCAGCACGTTTTTATAGTTGTTGACAATCGATAACCATGAAAAACGAGACACAAGGCTCGAACAATCGTATCTCCTCTTCCAAAATTGTCCATTTTTGTGGACAATATAAGCGTCAATTAAAGAGACATTACCGTAGTTGGAAAACCAAACATCAAACAATCACAATAGTTAATAAAAACAAAAACTTGTCACCCGTTTTGCATTCTGAGTTAGCAGGCACTGGTCTACGCAAACGACACAGACACGAAGTTCTCACCGTTTCGAACGACATCTTCCATGCAGCCAAAAGATAATTCGTTACGCAATCAAAGTACTCGTTCCCTTCCCACTTCCGGGCATAATTCTGCGACCGTAAAGAGAAACGCCGTATGTCACGATTTCAAGAAATTCAAGCGTCGATTGAACTGCAGCATTTTTCAGAAAGTATTATAGGAATTCATTAGTATATTATAGGAATATTTAAGGTTATGTATTTTTCGTGAAAATCAATTCCGCGAACTCGAAAAAAAATTATACAACTCGAAACACCACTAATGCGAAGCATTAGAACTTCAAGCGACAATATCTCGGAAGTGAAAACTATGCGACATGCGCGGCGTTCTTTCTCGCAATCACAGAATTTACAGGCGCGAATTACATGTGCGAATTGACTACGATTCGCGCGTAACGGAGAATGCGAAGAGAATTACGGATTCGTCCACCGTTTCAAAGAAGCAAATTTTCTCTGTGCGTTGAATTACTGCGCAGGCTGAAAAGTGTTCGTTAAAATCCGAAATTTCGGATTTGGATGTTGGAAAATCGGAAATTATATAATAACCAATATTTATATAATTATAGAATATTATATATATAATTAATATAGAATATATTATAATATAATATAATATATTATTATATATTATAATATATATAATAATATTATATATATAATTAATTATAGAATAACGGAAATTTGGATGGTCCCAGGGAACAGCCGCGAGCCTGATCCAAGGTGCCGGTATCGGTAGGTAAGAAAGAGACGTATGGACGATGCGGCAAGAACGCGGAACGGGCACTGTCCTGTCGTTGACGCCGCGCGATACGGGCGTTCCATCGTTTCCACGCAAACGTGCCGATGCAAATTGCCGGAACAATGATCGTCTATGTTGTAACCGAATGCATTGCACCGGGCGAGCCACTTCCATGAAATCCGAGTCCCACCGAAAAACTCACTCCGAATACCGGGTACACAGCTGCATAACCCGTGGTGTAATCGAGTCCAACAATGGTAGAAAAGGAGCACCGTGTACACCGTGTCATCGGGAGTTAGGTTAGTCTGGCGGATCCGTGCGGCAAATTCACGGCACATGCGACCTGCCCACCGTGAAGATCGAGCTTAGGAAGAATCGATATCATTCACCGAGATATATATATATATGTATATTAAGATGCACAATTAATTACGTTCGCTACACTTAAATTTTAGATAAATAATTTTTAGATATTATTCTATATTAATGATATTACTCTATATTATATATATTTAAAATGGTCTCATTACTTGACTATGGATTTCGATAAAGACGAATAGGAGCAATTTCAGACGGTGAACAGACTGGAGACAGTTTAACACGTTTAGCGCCACGTCGGTCAAATATGGGTGACACTAATTGTTGACCAATTGAAAATTCATGTTCATTGTAATATATTCGAACAAACTGAATTCGACTAGAATGTTTCGGATGTGAAGGAGTTCTAATATCATCCACTATGATAAATTTTAACTTTCTAGTCTCGGTTCGATTAATTAAATTGCTTTGATTTAGTAGGAATTTTAGTGGTCGATTTTGTGGGCACTGAATGCGTTAAGAGTATCGATGCACTATTTATTAAGAATTAAATTAGTACTTGTCACCTATCTACACTGCAATTGACGCAGAATATTTCTATTTCGTCGCGATTGCACAGAGATCGTTCCGAGAGATAAAATCAAATGGTGAAAATGGTTCTAATATCATCCACTATGATGAATTTTAACTTTCTAGTTCGATTAATTAAATTGCTTTGATTTTGTAGGAATTTTAGTGATCGATTGTGGGCACACTGAATGCGTTAAGAGTATCGATGCACAATTTTCAACCGAAATTCTTGAAGAATTAAATTAGTACCTGTCACCTATCTACAATTGACGCAGAATATTTCTATCTCAACGCGATTGCACAGAGATCGTTCCGAGAGTTAAAATCGAACGGTGAAAATGGTGCAAAAGGGAACCGTCGCGATCCCGACCCCAAGGTGCACCACCAACGACAAAACAAATGCCCCATGGAGCCCGAAGAGTGCCTCACAGATCCGGAACGTTGTTCGCGTAAAGGTCCGCGGCTAGTTACGGCGCAGCGAATTTACCGACCCAACGGCTCAGGAATTTAGATCCGGCCGTGACAGAGGGGTGAACGTTCTGTTTCTGGTTGAACGCCGTCACCGGGCCCCGTGTGCATGCGACGCGAGAGATCACACATGGGGGCCGTCGGTCGGTCTGTCGGTCGGTCGGTCGGTCGGTCAGCGGGGAATTGACAGGCGCGGTGGCAGACTTACACTTGATCAGGATGACACCGTTATGCAGCTCCTCCATCTCGTGGAGGCGGGCGATTCTGCTCGCACTTCGTGCTCCAGGTTAAGTGGCGACAATGTTCCTATCGGGCACCGGCTGTCGTGTGTGCTGCCCGCAACGTGCTCGTCGTGTCGCGCAGCGGGGAACATACGCTCGGTGTCGCCGCGCGCGCTCGATTCCTGGATTCGCTGATCGCGGCGAGAACGACACTCGGAGTAGAAACGATCCGTTTCAGCGCGAATTACGAGGCACACGTGGCGGCGGGCATAATTAATATCGCGGCGTGCAGCACCGATAAGAACGCGTCGTCGTCGTCGTACCGTCCGACAAAGAAACGCCACCGAAACCGAGTAAACATGGCCGTGTGCGCGCGCGCCTCTCTGGTTCTCCGTGGCCCGCGGAGCCGTCACGCACTGAGGGCGGTTGCATGGAAACGAAGGGCACGGACGAGAGACGACGGACGGCGAAAGAGAGAGAGAGCGCAGCCATGGACGCCGAGGTTGTGTGCGGCGTCCGAGGAGAACGGAGAGAGAGAGAGACGCGCGGCAGAGCCACGGAGAGAATGGAACAGAGGGTGCTGCAAGCTGCGAACGAGAGAGAAAGTATCCGACGAAGAGAAAAATAGCGGACGGTTGCGCGGGAAAGCAGCGGGCGCGAGAGAGACGCCCGAGAGCCGGTTACCGACGAACAAAGATGCCCGGCTGGAAGAGGACGGAACGAGGCGAACGAGAGAGAGGGAGGAGCGCGCGCGGCCGGCTCGGTGCAACGGAACAAACGAGAAAGAGAGGACGTAGAGAGGACGCGATTGTTCGGGACCCGGGAAAACGAGGATAGGGCTAGCCGCGTCGCGGTGTGGTTCGCCGGAACGGCCGCGCGGCGGCGCCACCTCGAGCACGGCCGTGTCACGATTGCAGGAATTCATGCTCCTGAACGGACTTGGTAAATCACGATCCTCTGACCTGGCTTATTGTTGAACGAAGAAAACGCCGAGCAGCTGGACTTCGTAGGATCTTCGATGGGAATGTGTACTCGGGTTTCTGGCCTTTCGAGGCTGGGAACGTGGAAAATTCAGGGAAAATTCTCGGACCGTGGCCAGGTGAAATTTGCAGCTGCGCTCTTCCCCGAATTTTTCAAACTGAATTTCCGTCGCTTTCGAGCTACTACTACTTGTAGGAAATTGCTTGTATCGTAACTGTGCGTTGGAATCGTGGCGTAAGTCACGTTTTTCTCATTGCAAGAGGCAACGAGTTTTCTATTGTTTACTAATGCGTGTATTGTTTACTGACGCGAGTATCTTTACTGACATCTGCATTGTTTACTAGCATGTGGATCGTTTACTGAGCAAATTTATTGTTTAGGTAATTTATAGAGTTAAGTTAATTTGTAGTAACTCTACAATATATATATAGTCCACTTTTTACAATAGTCCACTTTTACTTTTTAACATTTTTACATGTTTAGATCACATTTTAACACTTCCACGACCGCGCTAGAAACCTCAAAAATTTTCATACAATTAAAATATTTCATTCGATTAAACAAAAATTACGAAGCTTAAACTTATATGGCATAAATTACTTCTTCAGCGTGTTCGTACCTCTTGCAAATCTTAATAAAATTAAGCAATCGTTTTTAATTTTTCATTAATCATCCATTCTATCATTAATCGACTGAATTTAAAACGCGGATATCTCCCTATTCCGTTGGCTAAGTGTCAAGAGTCATTGTAAGTGAACAATTTTCGAAAATTTATCTTACGCCACTGTGAGACTGTAACACGCTCACGTATGAAGTTATGCACGGTATGCGGGCATTGAAACGTGCAAACGTACGTGTACGAATGTAATCGAACTTAGATACCGTATTTTTGGATGTTTTCGTGAGACTAAACACGTCAGTCTTCCGTCAAAAGGTTCAGATGAATTTGCGCGTGCGCGGATTTATGAAGTCCACGGATTCCACTGGAGATTCGAACGAAGAGAATTCGTTCGAATTGGTAATCGTTATTTTGTAAGAACAACGAGTTAATTCGTCAGAGAAACGAATCAAAGTGGAGCAAGAATAATATGCACTACACGCGCCGCGAGGAAACCGATCGTAAGCAAAATATTGATACACACAAAGAATGCTTAGGCGGTTGAAATACGATGCGTATCGGAAGTGCATGCGTTTATTGCGTCTGCTGCGAAAACCTGAAGTGGGGGGGGGGGCTATATAGTGTACGGACAACGCGCGCGCCATAAATATTTTCTTAACATTGAAACATGAAAAACCTTGGAAATAACACATCGTTCGCCGCGTTACAAAATGGCAACCGCGAGTCATCATCATCTAGCAGGGATAAAAGTTTTGTCCAAGATCGAAATACATATGCTTGCTGAATGGTGTGTTGCCAAAGGGGCAGATGGCCAAGGCTAGAAGTTAATTGTATTTATGGAAATTCCCTTCGACTTCGATCTTGGCAACACTGTACACTCGATGCGTCGTATTGCTCCATGATATTCTAACGGTCTATTATAAGAGATGCATACTGTGTACTCGATTTATGCTCGAAATGCTAATAATGGCGCTAAATTCAAGTACAGGAAGGATTGAACAAAGGATTTATCGCCGCATAGCGGAGCTTCCGATTTTCTTCTTTGCTGTTCTCTTTCGCAAAGATGTTGACAAATCCTTTGTTTCATCCTCCCTGTACTTCAATTTAGCGCCATTATTATTAAATATATTATTATATTATTATTATTATATTATTATATTTTTATATTATTATATTATATATTAAATATATATGTTATTATTATATTATTATTATTATATATATTAACACTGTGTGTGCCATCTGCAGATCTTAGATATGATTCTCTTGTTTGACGCCGGCATAATAGCTTGGAGATTTTAGATCAAAAAAAAAATTTCGAAGATGGCGGTAATATAAATTCCTAAAACTAAGATATGTCATCCAAGAATTTTCGTACTTGATTCTTAATTAAATAAGCACAATGCTATAGTTAGTTTGCTGCCTTTTAACACCCAAGAAATATAGTTCAAACGTTATTTCAGTTTAAAAAAAAAAAAAACCACCGGCACACAACAGACAGTTTTTGCATGGCACCAGCATAGTGTTAATATATAATTTATTTATAAACAAAATTCTTGCAATCTCCGTTTAAGTAAATAACATTCAACGTCACAGAGATAATTGTTCTATTATGCAAACATTTTTGCATTCGAACACACAGGTCTCTGTATTCATTCGAACGCGGATGGCTTTACTAGAACTGGATCATTGTGCTCGTGGATCACAGGCGCCTTTGTATTTTACCGATCGCCACTCCCCTCGGCATGATCCACCATTTCATTGTCCCGGCGACCCTTCTTTTCTCCGAGTCCATTCCCATTTTCTTCAATCCCTAAAATCTTCGCAAGAAACCCGAAACCCTGCGCCCATGGAATCCCCATTGGACACGCCGGCCCTGAATTTTACAGCGCGCCCGCGTGCGCGCGTAAAAAATTCCTGCGGACGATCGATCGACGGATCTACGTATAACGCTCGGTAAGGATCTCTCTCATGGTCGATAAGACAGTGAATCGGTTGGAAGCGAGGAACGGTTGGCCGAGCAGCGGCAAAAAGAGCTGTTGTCCGACTCTAATGGGAGATGGCGACGCGGTTTGTTTTCCCTCCTTGCTCGCAGCACACACAGTCACGGGCAACTCCTGCGCTGATTTTTCAAGAATCAATTTCCATTGCGCATGCGCGCAGTAGTAGTGCTCCGCAAACGGAACTGCAGAAGCACACGACACGGCGGCGCATGCGCGCAGAAATTGTACGCCATGAATAATGTAATATTTGTACAGAATTACGTGTACAAACTTTTACTAACGTATGTAAAAATATCACATTATATACGAAATATATATAAATAAATAAATACAAATATATACAATATATACAAAATATCACAATACGATCAGAATAATTTTCTGAGTGAAATGAAACTTACGAGATATGTGAAATTTTAATCAGTTAGCTGTTCTAGAATAATAATATAAAACGTTGCCGTTTCTTCTTGACGAGTATATTCGTCGTGAACGATAATACACACTTTGATATTATTTATTAAATTGTGTACATTCTAAGAGTGTCGGGTCTAAACAAAATACAAAGAAAATCAAATACATTACAATCACACTCAATTCTGTTTTTACACGCTAGATACGTTTCAAAAAATACCGTGTTAAAAAGATACATACTACAGAAAGATAAATACTAATATAATATAAATAATACTAATACTAAATACTAATATGATACTAAAAGATAAATACTCTAATATAATATAAATAATACTAATACTAAATACTAATATAACACTAAAAAATAAATACACAGAAAAATAGGGGATTGGTTCTATATCCTTAAAACTTGTAAAAAATAGCTAAAATAAAATACAGTTAATCGAACTAATTGTCCCTAAAATTTCAATCGGATAACTCTTTCAACCATTCTAAATCGAGTAAAAAGGAAATTAAACACATTTTTCTAGACCCTGTTAAACCTATGCAAACAGAATTGGTTGTTGCACACACTTTTCAAGTGTCTTACACGCTTCTCGAAGAGGCCGCAACGGGCAGCTGGTTAAACACAGTATTCTAGACTAATATCATGTTTCAAATATTGCCGCGTTTTCGCTTCACCGCGTATAGTCCCTCCCCGCCCCTTTACAGTCAGGTATCTACAGAAAAGTAACGGAGATGTAATCTCCATGAAAGCGAAGCAACATCGGCTCGTAACGACGTTCCAAAGTCGCCCAACCGAAAGACAAGAACATCAGAAGCCCCGGAAGATTCTGCGCTTCCATAAAATTCCTTTTACGAGTCGGTTAAACAACGGCTAGTTACGCGTCCGATTCGCGAGCAAACTGGTCACACAGTATACACACCGCCTAAGCGCGTAGCGCGTCCCCACCAGAGAGAGATCTATGTTTGCAGCTTCCACCACGGCGGTAGCTGCCGACTGCCGTTCCACGTATACTCCCCTCTAGCTCTTCGCTGAGGACTGAAACCAGGTCTACATTTTAGTACGCATCAGAATCTCGACTATGAGAAGTTTTCACACGAGCGTTCGTGTCCCCGGTAATGGTCAGCATGACGCAGACTTCACAGCAGACCAAGTTTCGATGTGAGTTCTTGGCTTGTGCGATGAAACAAACGCTTCGGTGTGCCTCCTCCGCGGGGACACGTGTGCCGCCGCCGTCGCCGCCGATTTTTCTGTCGCGCCCTTCGACCGTGTCTCGCGTTTCCCCGAAACCGGCCGCTCCGACGGACTTCGAATAGTGTCTCTGTGAACCGCGACTTCGCGCGAACGTAGTATGGCGCCTCGAACGTGGCCCGTCCCGGGCCCGTTTTAATCGTCCCGCGTGC